CGCCGCCGCCGCCGCCGCCGCCTGCGCGAGCCGCGGTGTCGCCCCCGTCGGGGCTCCGTGCAGCGCCATGGCGAGCCCGGACTGGCCCAGGGAGCCGTGCAGCCGAGGCGCCAGCCAGCGGGCTTCCGCCCTCGAAGGGACGCCTCTGGCCTGCCTCCCTCCGACTCACCCCGAGAACGCCTCTCGTGTCGGCGTGACGCTTCCGCCTGCCGCCGACCCCGGCCCAGCCTTTAGGGAGGCCTCCTCCCAAGCAGCCCGCCTCTCCGCATCCCCCTGGCCGCCTCTGAGCTGGGCGGGAAGGGTCGCTCTCTCCGGCGAAGGGGCAGGGCTGGCGCGCGTGTCCCCCACAGGCAGGCGCCTCTGATCGCAGGGCCACCGGCCACCCCCGTGTCCAACGAGGGCCCCTGGGCTCCGCAGGGGTTCAGGGGCGGGTCAGGAAGGCCATGCCCCTTCTGCCTGCAGCTTGGCAGGGAAACCCTTTGGTCCCATTGAGACCTCGCCTCCTGGAAACATGCAGAAACTCCTGGGTGCCTCTTGGCGCTGAGGGCAGCATCTCCATGGCCTAGTGGAATGTTGTACCTCGACTACCCTGTCCACTTTAAAAAAAAAATAATTGGCTGCTTTTACAAGCTCTGGAACAGGTGTTACCCAGTCATTGTTCCTTCCTTGTGAAACTTTATATCTTTGGATAATTGGAAACCTGGACCTTTGAGGAATTGGTTGTATATTGTTGGAATCTCATCATAGGCTGTAGGATAGTAAATTCTCACAACTCGTGTGCCAGAAAGGTCTTGCGCATGGCGTGGCTTTGTTACTTATAACCACCTGGAGCTTGGCAACCCTGAGCAGCCTCCTTGGGGCCACCGCTGCTGCTGCCGCCGCCGTGCCTGCTGCCAGTCTCCGCCGGAAGAGAAGGCAAGAGGCCCCCAGCAACAGATTTCCACGCTTGGCTTCATTCAGGAACAGGGCGGCCAGTCTCCCGGGGGCGGCTGGGGATCGCCTGGGATCACAACCAATCTCCAGGCAGCAGGAGGGATGCCAGACCCCCCCCCCAAGGGCAGAGGTCCCCCACTGCCAGGCCCCACCTCTCCGCTGCCAATCAGCTGCTCCCCCCCCCAAAAGGAAAGAGCCCCTGACATTTCAGCGACGTGCCTCTGTGACTTCAGCGTGACCCAGAAGTGACATAGGCACATTGGGAACGTCAGGGCAATGCTCTCGTTTTTTGGGGAAACTCTACGGTTAGAAGCTACTTCTGCCCCAAAACCAGAGCGTTGCCCTGACATGCCTACGTCACTTCTGGGTCGCACTGGAAGCTCTACGGGGACACCTTTGGAACCTGGGATAAACTCCTGCTAAGCCCACCCCCACCCCCCGTCGGCTGCCCGGAGGGACCCGGCAAGCCTTGGCAACAGAGATCAGGTCCCCCGGAGAAAGCGGCCCCTTGGGAGGGTGGACTCCATGGCACTGAGGTCCCTCCCCCCAAGCCCTGGCCCCCTCAGGCTCCACCCCCCCCAAATCTCCAGGAATCTCCCAGCCTAGAGCTGGCAACCCTATAAGCAGGAAGGGGATGAGTTCTTGGACACGATACTGAATCGGAAGACATTCTAAGCCAGGGGTGTCAAACTCATTTGTTATGGGGACCGGATCCGACATCAATGAGACCTTGTTGGGCCGGGCCACGGGTGTCATAAAATGTCATGCCAGGGAGCGGAGATATCAACTTTACAAAGGACACAAAGACAAAGGGTTGGGTTTTTTTTACTTAAAATAAAAGCATGTTTAAACCATGAGCACCTCTTGCTCTGAATTATTGCATCGAAATGTCTGTGCTGTTGCCATCTTGAGTGTGCTGTTCGGGTGTGTATCCGTAAGCGGCAAACCTACGATGACGCAGCAGCAGAACTGGAAGCAGAAGCAGACAGCCAGTTCCACGGTGGGCCCCTCTGGACACCCCTGTTAAGCACGGGGCTCCGTGGATGGTCCAACCCCAGGCCTGGTGATCAGCTCTCCTTTAGTAGTGATTCAGCAAGAACAAAACGCGAAAAGCCAGGGCAATGGCCCTGTGTAAATAGCATGCCGCTCCACCCACTTACCCAAACAACTACCAACGATAGGCCATTGCCAGAACCATTCATTCCTCATTGGCCACTGCCAGAGTCCTGGTGGGCTATGGTTCTAGAGCTCCAAGCTCAGCCCGTCTCTGGTGGAAACAGTCCCGGGATGTCCCAGTCTCCATCCGTAGCGGAGGGCAAGACCCAGTCCCCTTGGCTGGCTCCAGGAGCACCTGGGGCATGACTTCCCGGGGGTCCCACCAGTGTGTCCCAAGTCGCCAGGTCCTCCCTGGTGGAGGGTTTTTGGTTTTTTTTGCCAGATCCAGACTAGGAAAATCCTGGAGGTTTGAGGGTGGAGCCTGGGGGGGGCAGGGACCTCACCTTAGTGGGGGACAGTGCCATAGAGTCCACCCTCCAAAGCATCTGTTCTCTCCCCAGGGTGTCAATCTCGGGCCTCGCTTGCCAAATATTTCCTGTTTTCTTATGGTCATGCTCTGTTGGGTTGGGGGTTATTGTCCCTCGTTTCATTATTCCACTGGTGGTGGATTCACATGTATTCTTATGCAGTTCCTATGTTGCACGCGACCTTGCTCTCTCCCACTGCTGTTTATCATCTCTGCTGGGAACGGGGGGTGGTGGTGGTGGGGGTGGAGGATGTGTGCGGCTGCCTGCTTTGCTGGGTTAGTGCCAGCTCGTAAGGGTTCTCACGCAGGGGCCTCCTGAGGGTATTGAGAACACCTTGGGAAGACTCATTTGGAGTCTGGGGAGCTTCTAAATGATGTAACCGTTAGCATGCAGGTGGTGGTTGTGGTGGGGCGGTCGCAAGGGCGGGGGCAGGCGTGTGGCAGGATGAATGGGAACAGTGATTGGTCACTTGGCATCTGTGGAATCTCTTGCTTTTGGTATATGGATGGGACTAGCCTCTGGGCCCCAGTTCCAACACAGAAACTGTCTATGGGCCCCAGTTCCAACATGGAAGCTGTCTACGCTTGGAACCTTTATGCCTCTTAATAAGCAAATCTTGCTGCTGCTACAAGGGTGTTGGTGAGAGGGATTGCACCCAGGACTTGACATATTGTTGGAACTGTCTACCACTGCCGTGATGAGCCCAGGAGATGGGGAGTCTGAAGCAAAGGCTCCCCCGAAGTCACCCAGTGGCCACCCGGAGGAGAACTGAAGGGGTGTGATGTGAAGGGGGAGGGGCTGCGGGCCGAGACAGGATGCTGGGATGCCCCTAACTGGGCTGCTCCGTCCCTAGGAGCAGCAGGAGTCTGGAGGAGGTGGCCAGATGGGGACCCACGCTGGATCTCAGGAGTTTTCCACAATGACACCGATCAGCTGATGGCAGTGAAGACTGACGCAGCGAGGCGTCGCCTGGAAGAGCCAGAATTAGAGCACGTGTGGCGGAAGCTAAAGACCGAGATGGTGGTGCTGCGCAGAGACACCCGGGCTGCCCTGGACGGCCTTCCCAATGCCTGCAGCAGGTGCTGTCCTGCAGCAGGATCTCTGTGCCTTGGGGCTGCAAGCGGCAGGAGGAGCTGCTCCCATCCAGCTGGATGGTGGGGCCCAGCCAGGGGTTCCCCCTCCTCAGTGCCCTGCCCCGGTGCCCCCCAGAGACACACTGGAAGCTACCTTCGATGGGACCCTGGGGAAGCTGGCCTTTTTTGTGCTTCAGGTCCGCACGTTCCTGAGAGAGTGGGGCCACACCTCCACCTCTGATGAACATCGAGTGGACTATGTGGGGTCCCGGCCAACTGGTTTGTGGGTCTTTATAATGTGGGGGGCCCTGATCTCCGATATGTGGGTGTGTTCATGAGGGCCCACCGCCACCAGTATGAGGGCCCACTCAAGTTGGAGCAGAGGCATGAACTCACCTCTGGGGTTTGAAGGAAGGGAACCGATGTGTCAGAGAGTTCTCTGACGAGTTCAAGTCCTACGCTGCCAAATTACAAGGCTGGCCGGAGGCAGTGCTCATGGAGTTTTGTCAGGCTGGCCTGAACCACACCGTCCTGGACAAAGTGCTGGCCCAAGAGAATGCAGGGACTCTGGATGGCTGGATCCAAGTGGCGTGTGAGGCTGAGAATCGTTGCAGCATCCTGAAGATGTATCATCCCAGCCCTCCCGTGGGGCCAGCGAAAGCGCAGGGTGCTGGCCAGGAGCAGAAGGAGCAGTGGGGTGGGCTCCCGGGGAAAGGAGCAGAGGATGCGTCGGGGATTGTGTCTAAAGTGCGGGGGGGGCGGGCATTTCGCAACCGGCTGCCCTTGGGACTGGAGCCCCAGTATGACAGAGAAGGGAGAGCGCAAGCCAAAGGAGAAGAAGTTCAAGCTGTCTGCGGGCCGTCTCAAGCCTCCGCGTGACCTCCCGTCGGGAGGGGGAATGGCACTGGAGAGCATCTCATCTGGTGAAGAGGAATCTCAGCCGCCCATGGGAAATGCCCAGGACCTGCTGTGGAAGGCGCTAAGCGGCAGGCCCAAGCTTCCCCAGCGCCAGAGCCAGTGAGGCCCTCCTCCCCCTTGGTTTTCGTGACTGTGACT